ACCAGCCAGACACTGGGAACTTGGGGTGTGTAGTCAGACAAAGTAGGGTTAAAGTTTTGGTTTTGCCACCTCCCAGCTGGCAACAGGCCCGGAGCAAGTTACTTGACCTTGAAAATTCTGGGTTCCTTTGTATACATAAATTCAGGTTAGGTTAGAAGCTGCCCTGTGGTCATGCTGGGCTGTTGAAAGGGCACTTCTGAAACCCTTGGCAAGTACACAACCCTTAGCAGGTAGCTGCCGGCTCTAAAGGGTGGCTGCTCAGTTGCTTCTCCATCATTGTGGGTCCTATCTCCATTATCAGCTCTAAGCTCCCGAGGCCACAGGACTGGAGAACTCATGTAAGAAGCAAAGGTGCAGGCATCCCTGGGTCATGCACATCCCCCGGCGTTGTTCCCCGTGAACTAACTGCTCTCCTAGGGAGCAAAAGGGACAAAGATGTATTACTGGGTTCAGAGGTGGGCGGCACGGGTTGAGTGACTAGCCAGACTGTTTTTTTCTTAACTTTCTGCTCCAACTGAAACCAGAGCTGACCTCAGCCAGAGAAGATGAGGAAATGGATGATTATGGTCTTTCCAGGACCCAAAGCTGTTACATAACTGATATCACCCTTTCCCTTGAGGGTGGGAATCTGCAGCACTGTGTGAAAGCAAAGTATACTTTGTGATGAAGGGAGTGAGCTTCCTGTGATCATGGACCCCAAAGATCATTGACTGAGCTAGACACATCTTTTGCCATGTGTGTGTAATAGTTGAGATCTGAGCTAAGCAGCCTGCCAGTGCATCACATGTTGTCCACATGACACTGCCGCTAGACAGAAGAATCATTTCACTTTAAACACCAGCAGACCAGGTTTTAGAGAAGTAGGTATCTGGTCCAAGGACTGGGGCTTGGAGGGCTAGAGATAAGACTCCATCAGCTTTGCCCAACTAGACCCTGAGTTCCTCACCTCTCATCAAGGCTGGTGTTCAGAGGATTTGAATTTCAGAAGGGTAGGGTTGAACTAGATGTCTTTCCTTCCTTCCTTCCTTCCTTCCTTCCTTCCTTCCTTCCTTCTTCCTTATTTTCTTGCTGTGTGGGGATGGAACCCAGGACTTCACACATGCTAGGTAAGCACCCAACCTCTGAGCCCTATCTCCAGTCCTTTGGGTTAGGTGACTTTTATGATCTTAGCCAACCTAAGACTCCAGGTCTGATATTCAAAAAAGAAAACTCTGGGACAGGAGAGCTATCAATAGCTTCTAAGAGAAACAGTCAACACATCTCAGACTATTTCATTTTATTATTGAGGCAAGGTCTTATATATCCCAGACTGGCCTTGAACTTGCTATGTAGCTGAGGATGACCTTGAACTCCTGATCCTCCTTTCACTACCTCCTGAGTGCTGGTATTCCAGATGTGCATTATTATACCTGGCTAAGAAGTATATCCTCAAATATAAAAGCTGAGGACGTTAGGGACGTAGCTCAGTAAGCAGAGTGATGGCCTAGCATGTATGAATCACTGGGCTTGATCTCCATCACCAAATAAACTGGGCATCATGGCATACATGTATAACCCCAGCACTCAGGAAGCAGAGGCAGGAGGATTAGGAGTTCAAGGCCATGCTTTGCTGCACATCGAGTTTGAGGCCAGTCTGGGCTACATGAGACCCTAACTGAAAACAAAACAAAACCCTCAAAAGGAAATATTTCTTTTACCCCAATTCCCCACCTCCTTTAACACATTGTAGTGTCTTCCTGAAAAGTTGCCCCAGTTATGTGAACCTCTAAAGGGCCTGCTGTCTGCTCTGAGTGGAGAAGACGGCCATCATCTTTCCTGGTAGCACCACCTTCACCTTTGCCATCAACAAACCTGTGGGTCCCCAGGCCCCTGTTGGATCTAGAATGTTGGGAAACCCTGCTTTTAGGGTTGTAGTTCTCCATGTCTGGATAGCCCTGAGGGGCTTGGCGCCAAATGGAAGGACTCCCCTTTTCAGCAGGGGACCTCCTGCTCTCTTCCTGGCTCACCTGGAAAGTGCCACGAAGCTCGGATGCCTGACCTTATCTGAAACGTGACCTTTGGTATAGTTACCTGGAGTAAAAACTACCCCCAGGTTTTTTCTATATGATAATCAGGCATTGCCTGATAGTCGGATGATATGAGCCCACTGCCACATGTAAATAAAGCATACTATGAGCACCTATCAGCTGAGGCTTTGGCTACTGCCTCCACACTATAATTTCTCTAGTTCTCCCACTGAATAAACGGAGCTGTTTCACTGTCTGGAGCTGTGTTACTGCGCCTGGGACCAGCCTCCCCAGAAGGACTTTCTTCCGTCAGTGCTCACTGGCCATCCTGACCCCGTTTGTCACTTCTGCTCTCCCTGCCCTCGTGGGCCGGTGGCCAACGACCCGCGAAGAGAAGGAGAGACCCCCGCACTAGAAGTCAGTTCCGGACCACCTCTCGCCTGCTTGTCTGCAGCCATGTCCCTCATTGGTATTCTCTTCCCATCTCTGAACTAGAAACATTATTTGTCAGAGAGGGTTTTCAACTTTTCTGTTTCCAGCATGGACCTCTCCTTTCAGTCCCAGGTATGTTAATCTGTCTTCCTGAAACCCCCATGGTAACCTCAGGGGCATTTCACATGGTCTATCCCTTGCAGTTAACTCCTCCCACCACCCACCCTGTCTTGGTCCTCCTCATCCTTCCCTTATCTAAGACCTCAGACTTAATTATTTCGTGTGTGTGTGTGTGTGTGTGTGTGTGTGTGTGTGTGTGTGCAATCAGGTGTGCAGGCACATGTATGCCATGGGTGTGGTGGCCAGAGCAATCTGGTGTCTTCCTTGATTGCTCTGCACCTTCCTTTTTCTTCTTTTCCCCTTGACATTCGTTTTAGAGACCAAGTCTCTCGCTGAGCCCAGTGCACCACTGACTCACTACACTGCTTGACCAGAGAGCTTCAGGTATCCTCTTGTTTCCAGGCCCTGCCCCATTGGAGAGTTACAGATGCACACCACCATGTCCTGCTTTTACATGGGTTCCGGGGACACACACTCAGGTCCTTGTGCTTGTGTGTCAGGTAGTTTACCGACTGAGCCATCTCCCCAACTCCTCAAACTTCAGAAACACCCTGAACTCCTTCCTCTCACACAGCTCCTCTGTAGGAGATTTCTATCATCTACCACTTCTTACCTCCTCCACTGCCTCTCTGATTCACCATCTCTCAGTGGCCTCATGAGCTCATGTCCCCTTTAGTCTAATCTCAAGTCAGGGTTAAGAAAACACAGTAATTTCTTTGGAAACTCTCTAGTGGCTTTTCTAGTGGTGAAGTTCAGCTCAGCCCTTTCAGGCCTTACACCCACATCCTCTCCTCTCCCAGACCCCATTCCCACCAGCCCTGTTGCAACCATACTGGTGCAGGGCTGCCAAACACCCACCCACTCCAGAGCCTTTGCACTTGATCCTTTCCATAGAAACCATTCTTTTCCCTGTCCCCACTGGCTCCTCCCTCACATCCTCCAGCTTTTTACTCAACTATCACTTTCCCAGTGAAGTTTTCCCTGGCTCTTCATTTTACCATCATCCTGACATTCTCTATCTCCTTTTGTCGTTTCATGTCCCCAACAGCATTTATGCCTCATGGAGCCATCATGTAACCAGCTGATTTATCATTTATTCTTTTTTAGTGTCTGTTACACTGTAAGTTCAAGGAGGGCAGGGGTTTGTTTGGATGAGGCTCTGCCCCCAAAGAGGACAGGTGCTCTGGTGACTAGGAGCTCAGTAATTGTTCAGACAATAGTGCATGACTTGCAGGTTGCAGCTGGGGTCAGGGTGCCAGTTCTGGAGGCTTCTGAACTCATGAGCGTCTTCTTTGTGTCTGCAGTTGTTTCCCCTGCAAAACGCACATGTTGGAAACTAAGGTTCTCAGTAGTTCTCCAATTCTAGAAATCTTTTTTAAAAAAACTTTTGATTGGGGTTGGAGAGATGGCTCAGAGGTTAAGAAGACTTACTGCTCTTGCAGAGAACCCAGCTTTGATTCCCAGCACCCACATGGTGGCTACGAACCATCCTTAACTCCACTTCCAGGGCAATCTGAAGCCCTCTTCTGACCTCCGCCGCATTGTACAACATGGGTGCACTCACATACATACAGACAATACACTCATATTATTTTTATTTTATGTGTATGAGTATATTGCCTGTATGTATGTGAGTGCACCCGTGTCATGCAGTGCTCACAAAGGTCAGAGAGGGCATCGGATTCCCCTGGAACTGGAGTTA